CTGGAGTTGTGGTTACCTCCCTTCTCAAAGTGTTTCTGTATTTGATCACATTGTTGAAGCCGTTCGCTCTCCTTCTGGGTTTTTGCAAATGTTTTACTGCATTTTATTTGCCTTTTATGGTAAGAATTATAATAACAACAACAGTAATAATAATGTTATTTAAGTGTATTTCTCAATATGGTAGGGGCTGTGGGTGTGGTCTATCTATGTGACCCCTCCCCTAACTCCTCCCACTCAGGAAAAGAAACACTGTTAAACCAAATACTGTCTCGTTTGATGAACAGAGCAAAGAGACGTTTGGATCAAGCATAAAAAAATCATCAATTCAGAACAAGTCGCAGCGTTTACTGCAACCAAAACCAAATATTCTCATGTCGTCAGAGCAGGACGACAACAGGTTTGGTTTCTGAAATCTAAAACAAAACAAAAAAAATCACCATAGAGGGGTTTGGTCCGACGGCGGAGGAGAGAGAAGTAAGTCATGGTTCACGCAAACTTAAAGGAACGACGGTGAGCGAAGGAACGTGTTGAAGGATTTTATTACCAGGATCTTTGGAGCCTCAGCGTCGGACCAGAACCCTCTCAGGATGAATCGTTCGTGTCCTGCTCTGACGGAAACGGTACACAGCCCACAGAAGCAGAACGTCACGAGGCCGTGTACGCACAGTCATACAAACGCAGTATGTTGGTGTAAGATTTACATTAATATATTCATATATCGTTGTTTATATATCGGTTGACGAGGCTGCAGTCCTTCGTCACACTGCGGATGGCGCTCGCTGCTGGTTCGTGGCGGCTGGACTCGTTTTTAGTGCTCTTTTCAATGTTTTGCTACTTAAACTTTGTTGGAGGATATCTGCTGTAAAGCAAAAGCAGCTCCGCCTGGAAACCTGGAAACCTGCAACCATTAGTGAGACGTTCTCCAGAAATGTCCAGCTGCAGAGCCCGTTCCTTTTCTGGTTTACTAGAACGTTTAAGAGAAACTGTTCATAAACTTCTAAAGGTTCTTCGGTGCAAAGGATTAGGAGCAGGTAGGGAGATACAGGAAGGGACCTCAGGCTGGAGGAGCTGGAGCAGCTTAGCTCTTCGTTTTAGACTTTAAGCAACTTAAAACTGGCCTTTTTTTTATCCTACAATAAATTCACACTTTCACTTTCATTTCTGCCTCTTTCTATTAATTCATTTGTAAACAACAGAAACGATAATAGCCATTATGAATTTAAATTGTTCTGCCTTTGCCTCTTTCCAACCTGCAGCTGCGCTTTGATCCGGAAGTGTGAAGATGACTGAAAAACCAGCCGTACAGAAAAAAAAACAAAATGACACCAAAACAACAAGAACAAGAGCGGTTATTAAATAGAAGAAGAAAGCACCACCGTTGTCTCCGGTTATGATTATGTGCCGTATTTTTCCACTAATCAGACCACAATCTATCATCTACAGGAGGAAAGGAATCTGGAGGCGGACATCTTTGTTAGACTGGTCGGATGAACTGATTGACAAAAACACCAAACATGCAGTGAGGGCTGGTGGCGTGAAGGGCATCAGGGCGTCCTTTTTCATTTCATATATGCATTTTTTTTAAATTCTTGTGTCTCTGGGAGGAAAGCGTCGGTGTAAACTTGACTTGCTTTGTGCTCTTCGATTTTTAGCGGCGGACATTTTGAGAACACGAGTCGGGAGGGAAAAGGCTTTGGTTTGGATCAAACTAACAGTTAATACTGCGCACATCGAGAACTCCGATCCTCTCTGTCGCATTTCTTTTAACAATTTGTGAAAACTGCTGCAACCCGGCGGACTGCAATCTGACGCTTCACACGTCTTTTAAAAAAACTATTAAAATAACCCCAAAAAAACTGTCAACACACGCACACGCTCACAGACGCTTCGTCTTCGCCGAAGATGGAGGGGAACATGCTGCACACGTACAAAGATGGTAGGAGGTGCAACCGAAAGGTTACTCTACAGGCAATTTCTTAGCAAACAAAGGGTGGAGTAGATAAAGGCGGGGGTGAAATCCAGCAAGAAGTTCAGACCAACCGGAGAGACTGAAGCTGATGGGAATTTAGCCTTTCACTTTTCAACAAAACACTCAAATTATGTCCCAAAAAAACAAAAATACTGAAACGCAGATTAATTAGTAACAGATAATAGTTTGTAGCAAGTAGCTAATGTGCTAATCAAACAGGTCCGATGAGTGGTAAAGTGCACGATAAGGAGAGCGGGGTGGGGTACAAAAACACCTTCATGCAAACTCTACAACGCTTTGCATGCCTTTTTTGTAATTATTGTTAGAATTTTTTACACACAGCGGGATGGATGGGGTAGGTCAGACTCCCAGCACTTGTCGCCATCTTTTTTTTTACAACTAAACGACTACAAAACAAGACAGGAGGACCGGGGAGGGCTGAAGACCTGGATAAACCCACCCTGACCAAACTAATCTGGTAGCTTCTTCATGGCTGGATGTGGTTTTAGGGGCCTGATGGGCAAAAGGGGAACTTTACAAAATACACACACAAAAAACAACCACAATGTCATCAAACTGGCTGGTGCTTTGACAACATCCTCACCTTCATCCACCTCAGTCACCACCAGGACAACCATCAGCTGACCAGAAGACCATGGCATTGATTCAAGACTAACATTAAAAAATCGGATGCATGAAGTTTCAATAAAATTTCAACTTTCTAAGACCCTAAATTCACTTCAGTTTCCTCTTCTTTAAATTCTGGAGACGTCTTAAAATAGAAAACATCGACGACGGCGGAGAAAAGGGTCCAATGATTCAGTTGAGGAGAGATTTGTAGGGTTTTGGGGGTGACACTTTGGTGAACACAACAGTTTTGGTTTACTGAAGCCAAAGATTAAGAAAAGCAAACCCCACTTTTCTCTAAAGCTGAAGCTAGACATCAAGCGCATCACAGACATCTAAAGCTAACGATGCTAACCTCTACGTCTAAAGGAAAAACACGTTTTACATTACACAGCGACTACTTTTCTAACTCTGTTGATTGAATCTAGACTTATAGCTCTGGCAGAGAGTGCAGAGGGGATCTGGAGGTGGTTTGTCATTCAGCGTAGGCCTCAACAGAAGAACGTTAGCCTCTGTATCACAGAGCCTGAGCGCGTTCCTCCTCTGGGCTATTCTTACCCAGCATCATGGCAAATTACAAAAATGTTACCAAACACTTTTTTAAGGGACACAGAATCCTTTAAAATCTGCTGTTATGTAATAAAAAGTCGCCTCTCTGGAGTCCTGCCACTTGGACGTTGCTACAATAGGCTAATGTAGGCTAATGTTAGCACTGGAAAAATGACCTAGATATAAATAAAAAATCTCTTAAATAAAATGTATTTATGCTTAATTTGAGCAGGTAAATGAGATAGTTTGCCAATGAAATTAATATTTCTACACTTAAAATAAGATAATTGAATAATGTGCACTTGAAATAAGACAATGCAATTATTTTCCCTATTTTAAATGTAAATTGTCTCGTTCCTATGGCAAAATGTCTCTTATATCTCCTCAATTCAAGAAATAAATAACTTGTTTTAAGAAAAACTTATCTAGATTTTGATTTTCCCCAGATTTTAGCAGCCAAACGCTGTTAAACTCTTATCTTTTAATGGCCCAGTGTGGTAAAAATGTGTCACTTAGAAACATGTGAAGTTAAAGTTTTAATCCATGAGACGACGTTGCTGTGTGACATCAAGCGCGCGTTTGTTCATTTTCAGCTTCTTCTCCAGTGTGGAAAAATCTTTCTTTTTAACCTTTTTAACAAACCCTAGATTACAAACAACCGAACAAAATGTCTCTACAGCATTTTTATTCTTTTTATTGTTTCACACATCGAGTTAAAGATTATGTGAGAGGTACCTAGCATTAGCTTGTGATTCCATTTATAGATAACGCGTAGAATGCTAATACTGACCAAGATTAAATCTCAGTTAAAGTCGCTAACTTTTTATTCAAGTGATTTAAATAGATAAAATATTTCTCATGTTACAATTATTTAACTATTAGCTACAGTTAATCCATAAGCAGTGAGAGCTATGCTACAGATTAACAAGGAATACCTTCCAAGCTAGCATAATTTGGTTTACGATTGGAGGCTAACAGTTTGGTGCTTAAAACAACACACTTGTATCATCTATTTTGATTAGAAAAATGTATAAATACTGTTTATGATGTAGTATCAAATATTTCTAGAGTTAGCCTTCCGTTAATTTAGAATTAGCCTATGATTAACCAGTTAGCCGCTAGTACAGTCACAGTACAACTAGAATAGCTGTAGAAATAGATAGAATAGACTTCTGGATTAGACAGAGATCATTTAAAAGCAATTGGAAATAGTTTCCAGAATATAAAGGATCGAACCGTGATTAGCTGTAAATACCTTTGAATAATTAAGAAAATAATTTTCTTGCATGACACTGGGCTGAACAGCAATAATGCCATTCAGAGTTTGAGAAAACTTAACTAGATAACAGACAATTAATCTTCATTAAGCCTACACAAGTACAAGCTAAGCCTACATCATGCAAAGCAGGTGAGACTAATCCAAACACTGGCAGGAGCACAACATTCATGGGGCCAGTCTACCTCAGAAATGAAACATGTATGACGTGTTCATGTCAGTGAATGCGTGTCACGTTGGTCCACCTTCCAGAGAACAAAATGCACCAATAGAACAGGAAGTGGTTGTCAGGCATGTTTTTAGTGAAATGCTACCATACTCCAGGACTTCCAGGAAAGGAAAGGTAAAGAGTCGGACGGTGCTTCCTGTCTCAGCATCACGTTATTCCCGGGAAGGCCTTCGGGTGTGGCAACCGAAACATCACAGCCCTCCAACACAAACACACCAGACACATCAGATGCCTACAACTCAACGGAAACACGATGTGAAGCAGATACAGCACAGGATACGTCACACGCAGCGCAACAGCAGCACGACAAAAGCAACAAACGCTTGCCATCGAAAAACACGAAACAACCGCCGCCACACTCAGGGAACCTCAGTTTGCTTGCTTGTTGGTTTTGATGCTTTTCCTTTATTTTTCTATTATTTTTTTTATTTTTTTGCAAAGTCTTCCAGAAGAACAGCTTGAGGATGACGCCCCCTGCTGGGATCAGGCTGTTTTTTTTTTTTTTTATGAAGTCCAGGTTCTCATCTGCTTTTTCAGTGTTGGTTAGGCGGGACCAGTGGTCTTTCTCTTATCTAGACTGCATAGATTAACTGTCCATCTCCCCCCACCTCCTTTTAAAATCTCCTTCCCGACATCCGACCACTGCTCACCTAGCCCTCCCTTTACACCATAAACTGGCCGATCGGCACAACCAGGACGATCAGAGGCCCTCCCTCCTCAGCTCTTTGGTTGGATCAAGGCAACAATATGGGGAGTCTGACCTCCCCCCTTATCGATGTGGTGTTTCCCCAACCAGACAGCTGGCTGTGAACGCATCTCAGGGCGCCTATCACGGTCTAACAGTAGCACGCTGACCAAAGTGATTGATGGGACAAAGCAGCCAATGAGAGGTGGGCCAAAAACGTTCCTGGCCCCTTCAGAAATGAGCATTGTACGGCAAGCTCTAGAACGTTCCCTTCTAGTACATCTGGAACGGTTTTTCTCCATGGACGTATTGGGTGTTTGTGTCCTGAATTGGACGGAAGGAACCCTAAGCACAGATTTTCCCCACAGAACTCCCACCCAGCAGCCGTCACTGTCCTTGGAGACTCCCGAAAAACAAACAAAAAAACCTCAAAACATAACAAAACAGCCAAACAAACAACAACGAAAACTTCATATTATAGGTTATCATTTTTTACAGGTAGCTAACCCACATGTTGCTTCATATGTTCAATACATTTACATAGATAGGTTTGTTTTCCCCTCTCTTTTTATACGTTGTGTGGATAAGTCACCTATAATCTGGTCTTACTGTGTTTTCTTCTTTGCTTTTTGTACCCCGCCCAAACCCCTGGTGTTTCCTCTTATCTGTGATTGGATTATCTCTTTCTAGCTGATTGGTAGTCGGTCTTGCATTTGTGTTTCAAGTTTTTGTGTTGTCGTTGCTGTTTCTTTTCTCTGCTGGCTGTCGGTCAGTCGGTCGGCGTCAGTCATCATGGCAGCAGGTGGAGGAACGTCCTAGAAGCCCAGCGTGCCGCCGATGGTTGACGCCAGGACCACGCCGAGGATGACGCAGCAGATGATGATCATAATCTTCTTCTGCAGGGCGACAGTAGAAATGGACACGGATGAACGATGACGAAATGATAGATTACTGATACTTTACATTTTTAAACCTTATAATCTGTCCTTTGCTGTTTGAAACCACTTTAGAATTATTATTTGGTTAATGATTTGAAAGACATATCAGTTTATTTCCTAAGCAATGCTCTAACATAATGTTAACACAAAGGTTAAAAATATAACAGAAACAAATCACAGCTTTATTGAACTTTTAAGAAAAGCATAGAATGAAACCTGAGTAAAGGTCTTATATCAGCAACATATAACTGCTTGTTACAGAACAACACTCACTCCACAGTTTATATTAAAAATGAGAAACAGAGAATGAAATATCAGATGAAGAGTGGAGAAGAATACGGCGTTATCAATGGAAATGCTCCGGTTCAATGACCTGCTGGGAATTTAACTGGAAGAAATTTATTAGATATTTTATTAAACCATCCCAGAAATATAAATTCAGGGATCACCATCATTTCTTTTGGGATTGTCCAAAAATTCAAGGTTTTTGGTCAGAAATACATAACTCGCTTTAAGACTTTGTATTTGTATTTGTCCATCAAGATTGGCTGAAAGTGGACAAATACTTAAAGAACATCCTTTTGGTGGCCATCAGAAAAGCTATCAAGAGGTACGTGGAGTACGACGGAGTATTAGGTTGAGAATAAAGTTGTTAAATTAAGAGAATTAAGTCATAAAATTATGACAACAAAGTCATAAAATTACAAGAATAAAGTTGTATTTCATGACAACTCTTCCAAGAAGCCCTTTCTTCCCTAAAATGAGGAATGTGGAGCATCATGGGAAGTTCTACTTTAGCGTCGGTTTGACAAATCAGGAAATCTTTTAGCAGCAGCATCAAACTGGGCGGGATGTCAAAGTGGACTCTGGTTGCTGATTGGTGGAGCTGGTCAGCCGTCATCAGCTGGGCGGAGCTCCAAGCTTTCTTTCTGAAACGGGTTGTTCTATGATGACTTTATTCTCGAAATAGAAGAAAAATCTCGAGGCTGGCCTTAATACTCCGTCATAGTATTAGTACATCGGTCCTCTAAAATTTCGCACAGCTCTGCCAGTCTCTTGATGCTGCCTGCAGTGACACCTGGTGTTTAAAATGAGAACTGCATTGAAAGTCATGCGCTTCAATTTAGCCAAAAATAAAATGCTTGAAAACTAGATAATTTAAGGAAACCTAAACCTTGAGTTCCCCACAGGGATCTTACAGAGGAGCTGCAGGAAGGACGTTCCGGAGCTCTTACAGATTGACTGTACACTTTTTTATATAGCAAGAAATGAGTAAAGGGCTGCATGGGGGTCTTTCAGGCTACGTTCACACAGCAGCCTGCAGTGACCCAAATCCGATTTCTTTGCATATGTGACCTGGATCTGAACAACTCGGTCAGAAGAACTCTTTTTCCAGTGCGACCCAGAATCTGATACGAAGCAGATTTTTTTCAAATGCGACCATTTTTCATTTGGATGAAATAATAGCTGCATGAATCATGACAGCAGACAAGATAGAGGAGAGCAGGAGGCGGGGTTACCAATCTACTCGCTCTGGAGAGCAGAGTTCGCTGCTTTTAGATGTTGTCTCCAAAGTCTCCAGTAGCAGAAAAAAGTCTCTAGATTTGGCGCTAGGAGCTTTTTAGAAATCAAAGTGCTAGAGGGGTCTGAAAAGTGGCTAAATATAGCGACTAAAGCGCTAAGTTGGCAACACTGCTCTTTGCATGGTTTGTTTTCAAATGGTTTGCTGCTGTCTGTTTGGACCTTTCTGAACATGTGCAGCAAATGGACTGATCCAATATGGTGGACACTGAAGGGGGGGGCTGAGACACACTTAATATTATCAGCGTTCTGATGGCATTTTAGCCAAAGGATTTTTATCAAAAACATAATTAATGTGCATAAATAAAAAGGAATAGTTGTATTAACCTTACATGTAAAAGGAGTTCTATTGGCCCCCATAGAACTTGGGGCCCTAGACGACCGCCCAGTTTTGCCTAATGGTAAATCCGCCCCTGTATGAATGCAGTTAACGCAGGAGATCACGTTGAAATCTCATATATTTGGAAACAGCAATGCAAAAAAATCAGAGTTGAGCATTAAGGCCTGCAGTGTGAACGTAGCCTTGGAACCCAGTCGGACCAACGACAGGAGTCCCAGCCTTTGGTTGACCCTGGAGACTCCTGCGACATTATACTGAAATAAAACAGGACAGAAATGTTTTACCTTGCGAGCCTGGCTCTGGTATTTTACGGCCTTCTTGGTGTCGGAAACGGCTCGCTCCACGTAGTCCACGGAGTGTTCTACGTTGTACTCAATTCTGTCAATCATTTCTCCCTAAAACAAACGTGAGAGTTTAATCTAAAAGCACGGCGGATGAACCCCTTAGGCCTACTTCATGGTGCCTGACGTCACCTGGCTCTCCACCAGCATGGCCATGTCCACGAACATGTCATGCAGCTCCCGGATGCTGTTTTCCAGCTTGATGATCTCGGTGTGTCGGGTCTCGATCTCGTTCAGGGCCTGTTTGGTCATCTGAGAGTCCATCTTGATCTGCAGGGGAAGTTTGGAAGAGACATTCTTGCTTCTTTGCTTTCTAATTTTCTGCAAAGATTATCTATATAAACAGGTTATAAAAATGGATAAATGTGGTCAGAAAATGTAGTTTCTCTTTTTTCATTTATTGATTTATGCTATTTTTTGATTTATTTAAAAGTTTTCACTCAGCCGGTTTCACCTTCAGGCCACACAATGCCGCTGAGTTTGGGTGTTTGCAGAGCAGACAGAGAATGTCCCATTATAACCACCGCCCACATTTTATTCTATGCTGATGACCTTCATCAAAAAACATCAGATATGGTAAATATTGTCTTCTTGCTTGTCAAATATCACACATAAATGGTTCTACTCCTTGTTTTCATTCTTTTTCTTCACCAATTTAAAATGTCTTATAACTCATCAAAACATTTGAAATCTGTTTCTGCAAAAGAAGGAACTGCCAGTATTTATACTTTTCTTGCCCTATTTTATTTTTCCGTTGGCGTTTCTGTTAATGTTCAAATTTTTTTCTACCATGTTTTAATGTTTGTACCTCGACTAGTCCTCGTATACTGATTGTTATATAAAAAAAACTAATTAGTTGCTTCTAAGTTAGCTAGAAGGTTTTTTTTTTATTATATTAACTTTGTTTATATTTTTATCCTTTGTAGACTAAAATGAAATGAAAATATAGACAAATATTGATCCGAAAGGATTAACATCAGTTCAATTAAAATCAGATGCTTCTGAATTGAAGAGAAAAATCTTATAATTACTAAATTAGGGAGAATATTTTTAATCGTTTGATTAATCAGAAACAGATTTACTGGAATTCTTTTAATAATAAGTGAGAAATTAACTTCCTGTGTTTTTTTCAGTTAAAAGTGCTGCAGTTAGCAGATCGTTAGCTTTAATTAGCTCGAGAATAAGAAGGAATATTTTATAATACTTTTTAATAAACCTGCAGATTGTTAGCCTGGTTTTATATTAGCTTGAATTAGCTTTAGATGATTAGAATCAGCTTTAATTGGCCGCACTAAGTGTTGTTAGTGTTCCAGACGTGTTTCATTTTTATTTCTGTTTGCAGACCTGATCTCGTTATCTTTGGTAGTCAGACCAACTTACCTGCTCAGATTAACTCAACACCTGCAGTTAACCTGAACTTTACTGAGCTCTTCTGATTGGCCGAAACACTGTGACATCACAGAGGATGTGGCAGCAGTCAGAGAAGCTATATTTTTGTTAACATCCAGGTGTTTGGTTACATCCCATATTTGTACCTCTGCAGCCGAGGGTGCTTTTAATTTGAAGGAGAAGGAAACAATGAGTCCTCCTTCAAAATAAAAGCAACAGGTGCTTTTCTCTAAAAAAAAAACTTAATGCGATACGACAAATGCCGTCTTCACTTGATGTTTCAGCGCACCTTGCAGCCGCTCTGCATCCTGTCCACATGATGATGCGTACAGGAAGCAGAACGCTGCAGGTTTAAGTGACCGCAGGTGCGGTGCTTACATCATCGGTGAAGATGGCCAGTTTGCCGCTCTCCAACATGTCCTCCAACTCCTCGTTAGTGGTGGTTCTTCCAGCTGTGAACAGAGAACAGAGAGAGAAACAGACGGTTATTCAGAGACGCAGGAACCTGCAGGTCACGTGACGGATGAGGCCGGTCTTCTGTTCCATCAGAAACACCATTCCTAGTTTATCCGAGTCACAGAAAGACTTGAACTTTCCGCAAGTTCAGAAATGTTTTCCTCAAGCAGAATGTCAGAAGTTTGATTTTTCTGAGCTGCTGAAACATTCAGAACCATCATGGCTGAATCGCTCTCTCCATCTGCAGGTATTTCTGCCTGTCAGATGTAATTAGTGGTACTGTGGGCTCTCCATCTGTCTCAGAAAAAAGGAGAAAGTCGTCATAGCAACCGGTAACTACAGATTTTCTGGACCTTTTAAACCTTTTAGAAGCTTCTGCTGTTTTAGCATCGACCCGACAGCGACTAAGGTCCATGTGGAAGGCAGACATTGATGAATGATGCAGAAGCAGCTTTAGATGGAGACACTGACAACTTTAGGCTTTCTGCTCCTGAAGCATCAAACCCTCAATTTTAGATCCAAAGCCCCGTCAGGCCGGCATACCCTCAGTGATACACATGATGGTTATTAGCAGCTATCAGTCCCATAGAACGGCTTCAGATTGTGCCAGTAGGCCATTATCACTGAGTTAATCCTAATCCTAGTCATCCCTTTTCCCACTGAATTCATGATTCTATTCAAGTTTAATCTGTAAATTATTTCAGTAGTTCTTCATGTAAAAATAAATAAATTAAAATGATCCGCATGTCGTTCATGTTAAACAAACCAAAAACGAATGAATCTCATATCCTGATACTGAGTTGTAGAATCATCTCCCTGTAAATATTTAATTCTCTGTGAAAAAAGTCAAAGATCTTAATAAGATCCTCAAACTACGGAAGACGATTAGTGCCACTGAAAAAAAAAATAAGTTAACTGATTTTTTAATTTCATTTCAGTTTAATATGGTAAAAAAGTCAGAATTCTGAATTTAATCTCAGAATTATGGATCTTAATGTAGATGGGCACCATGAAGGAAGAGATGTGGAGCGCTCAGCTTCATTGACAAAGATGGGAGTTGTTTGAGGTGGCCAGTGACACATTGGTGGAAAATGACGGAAATAGGCAACTTTTTACGTGCCCGAGGGGTCCCCTCATTGATGGAGGAGCAGAAGCATGGGCGGTTCTAGACAGGGGCACACGGGGGCCAGTGCCCTTGTAGAACACGTCTTGGCCCCTGTACTGAAGACATAATTCTCATAATATATGCACTGAAACAGACAGGGTTACTGATTGGTCCTTTGAATCTATTTCATTTTTTTTCTTTACAAATTCTGTTTTACTGATTATTTAAATACAATACGGTGATAGCTTCAGTGGTACTGAGATAGGATCTTAGTTTTTATCTGTAAAATGTTTTTTTTTCCCCCGAAACAAATACAAAAAAATGCTATAATTTTTACAACTAAATTTATCAGTTTTTGAGTTCTAATTCAGATTTTATCAAAAATAAGTAAAATTCCTAAGTTATAAATGTATATTGATCTAATAAGACAGGATTTTAATAAAAATGTCAATTCATGCAGCTCTCTTATTATTTTTGAATCCCTTGCTCTGATTTTTTTTTCATGCTTTTCTGGGCCCCCATGAAAATATGCTGGCCCCCTCCTGGCCCCCTGGTACATTTGGTCTAGATCCGCCACTGAGCAGAAGGTCATTAAAACAAGAGAGCTAGTCTGTAAATCAGACATGGCTATGGCTTGATGCTAACATGTTTGTTAGCTGTCAGAATTCTGAGATTAAAGTCAGAATTCTGACTTTTTTCCCATATTAAACTGAAATAAAATTTAAAAATCAGTTAACTTTTTCATTTTCAGTGTCCCTAATCCTTCCGTATCAAACAGACATGCATTGTTTGTTTTTTAGCTAATGTGTGGTCGACCTTTTTTCTTGTTTTCTGCACAAAACTGCAACAAAAACCTGAATAAATCTGGAAATAAAACGACGCGATTGGCTGAGAGGAGAGCGGCGAGAGGACAATCTATGTAATGCGTTTTACTGAGGGTATGCTGGCCTGATGGGGTATGCTGAGCTGATAGAACTCCAGGACTGTCTGACATAATCCTTCCTGTATCTTTGTCTGTTGTGCTTTTAGCGCCACCTGTTGGACAGTACTGTCAGTGAGCTCAGTTTGGGATCATAGAGCAGCTATGGAAGCAGGAAACAAATCTAAATAAATATTTTTTCTTAAAATAAGTGCATTTTTTTTTTTATTTGAGTGGGTAAGTTTGCCAATGGAACAGGATGATTTACATTTAAAATGAGTAAAAACTAATTAATTGTCTTATTTTCAGTGAATATTACCTAATGATCTTATTTTAAGAGTAAAAATACTAATTTCATTGGCAAATCATCTTATTTTCAAACTCAAATTAAGGGTAAATACACTTAATTTAAGATATTTGTACTAATTTATAGATTGTTTTTGCAGTATATAGAGAGAATCTGAATCTGCAGGTGAAACATCAGCTTTTAGAGACGCCTTAGTGCTGCTCAGCGTTTTCTGGGCCGATTTCGTTTTTCTTTTCTCCAGCGGTCAAACAGTCTGGAGGAGTTCAGCTCATCAATCATGATAGGTTAGTTCCCAGGTTGGTGATGGATCAGATTTAAGCTGAATGCAGAAGAAATGCTTTTGGATCCAGAGAGAAAAAGGAGAGCTGTGATCTAGAATGAACCTGAGCTTGTGAGGAAGGAGCAGCATGGAGCTGCTGGCGTGTGAAGGTCACAGTAAAACAGCTGCATCACCTACGCAGCTCCTCATTCCAACAGTCTGTCTGAGGTGGAGAGAAGAATGAGTCAGTTTTACCTGTTGGCTCTTTAGAAACGAAGGATGATGGAGACTGAGAGCAACGTTCAGGATGACATGAAGACGCCCAGACTGCTGTCAGCAGAAACGTCTCTAAGGGTTTTAGGTTTTGTGGCTCCTAAAGGTGTTTGCTTTGCTTTTTGATAAAGCTTCTAGTTAGAGTGGCTCAGGTTATCCTGAGCTATCTCTATAGTTCTGCTGCTATAGGCTTAGATTGCTGGAGGACATAGGGACCCCTTTTTCATCATTCTGCTTCATTCTATCTCTATTCTCCCACTCTGCAGAATCTGTTAGTTCAATCTCTAACGTTCTGCTTTTTCTCATAGTAGCTTCATCTGGTCTGTTCCTGTTTGGCTGTGACTCCATCCTGGAGAGAAATATCAGCTGTGCTGCTGCCATCAACACCTTTCTTTGTTTCTTCGCACACTGAGCCTGGTCTTGGTTCTGCTGGAGGTTTCTTCCTGTTAAAGGGTTTTTTCTCTCCACTGTTGCTTGGTGTGAGGGATTGCTGTAGAACCAGTATCTATCTCCTGGTCCTGCTCTGACCCGGTGCATCATGTGCTAAGCTGGTTCTGCTGTGTTCTGGTTCTGAACTCACTGATCTCCAGCTGTCTCTGGATGCGGTCCTTGCAGCGGTCGCGGTACTTGGACTGCGTGGTGTTGTACTCGGTCATCACCTCCACAAATTTACGTGACAGCGTCGAGTGCTGCAGGAAGACAAAGAGGAAAATGTCACCTGGGTGAACTGGGAAGTCTGGGAAGGGCTGATAATCAGACTTTCCAGCTGAATATGGAAACATTTCCACAGAAACTAAGAACAGGACTGATGGGAACAGTTGCTCTCTAGGTGGAGATGATGGATCTGAGTGTGAAGCTGCTGCTGATCCTGGAGCTGCGAGTAACTGCAGCTTCTTTCTTGTCCACTGGGGGGCAGCAGGAGAAATTTTTTCCAGCAGAAAATGATGTTTAGGTGGAATTACCTTCCATTAGTAGGATTCTATGACAGATTATCCTCATGTTTCACTGCTACTGTTTTTATGGTGTTTGAACAAGATGATGGGGAGGTTAAAATGCCCTGATTTCTAAAAGGTGTGAATGAGGATATATAAATATCTAACTGTGTGTATATATATATATATATATATATACAGTTACGTATATATTTCTAACTGTATATGTATATATATATATATATATATATATATATATATATATATATATATATATATATATATATATAAAATATATGAAGTACATTATTCACTGATTAAAGATCAAATGTTCACATTTGCATAATGATAAAAAAAACTGTTTGAAAAATAAGTTTAGACAAACTTAACTTTTGTTAGACAAAACATAAATTTACCATTCGCTACATTTTGTCAAAAAGTCTTATTAATGACAAGAAAAATTAAGAAAATTAGCATAAAATTAATAAAATACAAAATAAAAACTTTACTCTCTTTTGTTTCCTCTATAGATCATAATATTCATGATCAAAGAGCAATCCTTAAAAATACTGAATAATAATAATACTATACTAATCTATAATATTTGTATAAAATATTAATATTAAAATTTTGTGTTTATCATATTAATTGCAAAATATATAACTTTGAGTTTAGTCAAATAGTTTTTAATCAGAATAAATATGTTCTTTTAAGCGGTTGTGACAGATTATTGTAATATTATCTCTGACTCATCATTGATTAAACTGAGATCTAAGGCGCCTCCTGATCATTCTGACAGCAGCTGTCTGAATCGTGGTCTGATCCAAGATGGCCGCCCTCCATGCACGCTGGCCTCCCTGCCAACAGATGAGGCGTCTACGTATTAATGTCTATGCCTTCATTGGGGTCTTATTTTGGGGAACTCCGCCCACTTCTGGAGAAGTCCAGCATGTCTGACAGCCTGCTGATCAGAAGGAGACCCACCGGTAACGGGTTCGATCACATGCTCTGCTTGTTGGGTGTCCTGACCCGACCCGACCCACCTGCGTCTTACGGATCCGGAGGTCTGCTGATGATCTGTTGAGACCCTCTTCCTGCTCGATGCTCTGCTCGATTGCTGCACAAACACACAGACAGACGATGTTACAGAGGTTTCATTTTGTTTCCAGGTTCTGATCCATCAGTATGGAAGCGTATTGCAAAATAATCAGACAGCTTTTCTCTTATTTACGGGATCTTATCTATATATTTGTTCATGATTCCTTCAGCCAGTAGTGAAGCGTCTCTCAGAAAGCTGGTCTTCATCGTTGCTTTTTAAGGATCTCTGCATCTGTTCCACTGAGCAGTTCTCTGTACCGAGGTCTGACCTGATCCGCCTTGGAGCTCCGCTCCTGTTTTCCACTCCATCAATAAAGTACGCAGCTAGAACCCTGGATTACTACTAGTGCAGTAAGCATGCAGCCTTATTACTTCATATTTATATTTATTACTTCATATTTATATTTATTACTTCATATTTATATTTATTTATCTTACCACTGTTACCTGTCATGTCCCGCACTTTATGTCAGTTTTTAAATGTCAGTCTTGTATATTTCTTGTATATTTGTATATTGCAGAGAGTAAACGTAATTTCATTTCCCTTGTATGTCTTGTACATATGTAGAAAATGACAATAAAAGCTGACTTGACTTGACTTGACTTGACTTATGACCAAATGCCAAAACCTGTCAGCAGCTCCATTCATCCACATTCTGTTTGGTTTGAGTTTTTCATATGAATTGACCTGCTGCATGAAGCTGGGACCTGGTGGTTTTAAACCATGCTGGAGCCTCAGCTGTTCTCCTGGAGGATCTAGGATTTCTAGAAGGTACCTGCGGACATTTCTTTGGGACGCCACCAAGCGGCTGGAATGCATTTCAGATGATTTCTAAGCATAAAGCCTCCCCTGCTGGTTTGATTGCTCCTGCAGGAACAGAGCGACTTCCAGCAGGTCGGAGTAGAGCGGACTCACTGCGCAATGCTGACAAACTGAAACTAATTCCATCCACACTGAGGAAACTCAGGATTTACCAGCGTCGCTCAACTGAAAGGATATAAAAGCAGATTAAATCCCACAATCATTGTTCAGGTTTCATGTAGCGTAGCTCAGCAATGACTGTCCTTCCTGATCTCCTAAATATGACACATTATCTCTATATTATGAGATGAGATCTATAATAATGAGATAAGCTGTCTGATTGTTTTTCTTTGGTGAATGCAACACGCTTCCGTACATCTGAGACCGTTTGAAATGTCACTGACCTTGTTTGCTTTTTTAAATTTGATTTCATCTCAATAGGGGAGAGAAAAAAGCAGAACTAAATGTTTGATGACAAAGTTACCCAAGATGACCCGTGGTTATTGTTGGCCGCTGACATCAGTGAATGCACTGAGAAACCACCAGGTTGTTCACTACTGGGAACCAGCAGAACCTTCCCTCACCTCACTGGTCAGCCCAGCTGGGGGATCAGAGCCATAACCAGGGTTTGGAGAACCAGACAGAAGGTCAACCCCCACAATGCTGTGGACCAATCAGAGTGGTCTGATCCAAAAGCTTCTTAAAGATACATCAGAGCAGGAGAAACAAGGACCCTGATATTTGAAGGAACCACCTAGAACCTTTCAGATTGAGCTCCAAACATCGCCTTCATCCTCCCTGCTGTGAGGCATGGCGGTGGCAGCATTATTCTGTGGGGAGGACTATCTGCAGAGAGCGCTGGACCTGAGACCAATTCGTCTTTCACCAACAGACGAAGCTCAGAGTCCAGATAGAGGAAAGTCCTGAAGGTCCCTGAGGTCAGAGAGTCCGCCTGGCACTCCGTCCAAAACCAGGAGCCCAGCTTGGACAGACGAGGAGGCTGAGGCTCTACTGAGCAAAGGCTCATGGGAAATTTCAAACTTTCCTTTCAGTCATTGAGTGAAGAATTTGGAAGGAATTCCAATGTGATCTGGTTATGAAAAAGTCTGCAGCCGGGTTAAATCGGGACCAGATGAAGATCTGGTTTTATGTGGAGAAAATGCCAAGCACAGCAGAGGACCTGTGATGCTATGGGCTGCTTTTCTTTAAAAGACTCTTCAGTGTCATCACTGATTTCATGGCTTCATCGAACTAAAAAGCGATGGTCCAGCAGACATTAAACCGACCCGCTTCTTTCACCACCTCAGTTCTCCCACTGCCGTAGAAAACCAGCAGGGGGCGCTCAAGAGAAAAGAACCTCAGATGGGAGCAACACGAAGCTTTGGACGAATCATCAGCGATATTATTTAATGATTCATACTGAATGATCTCAGACCAAAGGTTGGATTTTTCTATCATTTCCAGATGGAGAAATTACCGAAAATAAAATATTCTTAATGATCAGACTTTAGTGGAGCTTGAAGACGTGTGAGGCAGCTTCTGTTTCAAAAATAAATGGAGACGTCCTCGTCGTTCCTCTCCAGCAGCCTCACCTCATCCCTCTGCTGGAGCTTTCACAGTTACTCAACTGGGAGAGCGGCTTTAATTACATGTCCCCTCAGAGGATGGCGGTGATCACTGCAGCTGCTAAAGAAACCATCCAGGAGGAAGATCCGCCACAGACGCCTCATCTGACCACAAATTCAACCAACGCCACTAAGGAACATATGACAGAGTGTTTGACATTAAATTATACCGGCGGTTCCAAAATCAAAAGGTTTGTGTCGGATCTGAACCTTTCAGGAAACATAGGAGAGTTTTGGAGAACAGCAGCCTGCTTTTAGAAACTAAAAACTGACCTGAAACATCACTGAATTTAGCTGAGATTAAGCTAACACTGGGGTCAAAGGTTAAGCAGTGTTACTTTAAAGTGTGAGCATTGTGCTAACATGCTCATAAACCCGGCAGAGCGCTACAGGCTACCTTTAGCTTTAGCTTAGTGAGTTCATGCAGGCAGAAAGTAGAATGGGAGGCAGATCTTTTAGTTATCAGGCTCCTCTCCTGTGGAACCAACTACCAGTTTTAGTCCGTGAGGCAGACACCCTGTCTACTTTTAAGGCTAGGCTTAAAACTTTCCTTTTTGATAAAGCTTCTAGTTAGAGTGGCTCAGGTTATCCTGAGCTATCTCTATAGTTCTGCTGCTATAGGCTTAGACTGCTGGAGGACATAGGGACCCCTTTTTCATCATTCTGCTTCATTCTATCTCTATTTTCCCTAACTAACCTGGAAGCTGCTGCTGCCGCAGTGCATTCTGGGACAGCTGTCAGTCTGGACAATGGACAGGTCTGCTGTGATGCATGCTGGGTAAAGAGGGAGGGGCTAGAACTACATCTGGGGACAGATTGAGAAACGGTCTAAGACTAAATCTAAGATGGCTGTCAACAAACAAACAACACTGAGCACCATGTACCGTGATTTTAACACGAAAGGAAAACATAAAAGACTAGAAAGACTAGATTTATGTTAAAATCCAAAACTGGAAAAGTTAGCTCCTGGAAGTAGCGTAGCATCCCATTTCCGGAACAGATTGACAGACAAGTGATAAAATAGGAAGTATTTAAATGCTGGATGCTCAGTGGAGCAGTGGGTAGCACTGCTGCCTTGCAGCAAGATGGTTCTGGGTTTGATTCCCGGCCCGGGGTCTTTCTGCATGGAGTCTGCATGTTCTCCCTGAGCATGCATGGGCTCTCCCCGGGTACTCCGGCTTCCTCCCACAGTCAAAAATTAGGTTAATTGGCTTCTCTAAATTCTCCTTAGGTGTGAGTGTGAATGGTTGTTTGTCTCTGTGTTGCCCTGTGAAGGAATGGTGACCTGTCCAAGATGGAGGCCGCCTCTAACCACCTCAGCTGGGATCGGCATTATTGTGTAAATGTTTCAGAAAATAAACCCTGGTTGTGGTTTTGCTTTGGGAGGATTTTGGGTTGAAGATGTCTTTACTTTAAAAACATCTCTCTCTGTAAAGCAGCGTTCCCTCTCTCTCTATTATTATTTATTGGCTGTTTAATGGGACAGATTGATCTCTGATCTGATCTGACACACGCTGATAAAGGTGCTTATTGTCGTATGTCAGCGTAAAACAGCAGCTGCTAATGAGGTTTTCCTAATTATGAGCTGAACGTCTGAGATGATGATGATGATGATGTTTGATTCTGCTTGAACGAGCTCCCAGCTCCACGGTCAGGTGGTCAGACATGGTGATGATCACTTCCTGAATTCTGCAGACCTTCCTGAGGGCTTTCACGTCTACAGTAAGGGACGCTGCAGTTTCTGTCAGCGTGGGGACAACAGCACTCTGCTGCCTGCTGGGGATTCCAATTATAGCTGCATTGCTATTCTAAGTCTGCATATCTACACCCTGTGTGTGTGAAGTCCATCTACTGGCTGCTCACATTAAAGCAGGGATGTCCTTGAACTTCCTGTATGGACCAGTGCTGCAGCAGCTCTCTCTCCCTCTCTGTAGCTTTAAGCTTATTGGCTTCTGTCTCTTTCTCTCTCCTGCTGATAAATTGCTGCTTCGGTTTCTGAATATTTCCATGTTGCAGCTGAAGGTCAGCGTGCATGGTCATCTTCAGAGGGAGAATAGATATGAATGCAGCTAGAAGAAAAACAATCAGCTCTGTTTTCTCTGACAGAAACCATCATGAACTGGAGACACGGCTTCACTGCTCAGTAAACTGTGAGCCTTTTAATTAGAGCTTATTCTCATTGTTCATAACGCCACAAAAAGAATAAGAATCACAATTAAAATCATAGAAAATAAATCAAATTCCTGGTTTGGACCCTGATGATTAGTTACTGTTTTCTCAGAGTTCAGACAGTGGAGCCAGAACCTGGTGGTCTGGTTCCAGCAGAACCTCCTCCTGATGGGAAACCAAGGAGCTGGTGGACTTTCACAGAAACAGATCCGTCCCACTGACACCTTCTAAGCACCGAGGTGTTCATCTGAATAACAAACTGGACTCCCAACACTGAGCTCTGGATCAGAAAGGTCAGAGCAGACTCTTCCTGCTGAGGAGACGGAGGTCTTCTGGACTGCAGGGGGCGCTGCTGAACACCTGCTCTGACTCTGCTGTGGCATCAGCCATCTTCTATGGAGCTGTCTGTTGGAGCAGCGGCTCATCTGTAGCTGAGAGGAAGCGGCTGGATCAGCTGATCAGGAAGGCCAGCTCTGATTGGATGCCCTCTGGAGCAGGAAGTGGGAAACAGACGGATCCTAAATGAAGATCTCTGTTGGATGATAGCCGCATTCCCACTACACTCTGAAACCGATCCGTGCCGAGTTCAGACCGAGCTCAGATCAGTTAACTCGGTTCCTTACGACCGTTTACGCACCAAGCTAGCACGGTTCCTCGCATCCTAGTGGCGATCTACGGTACTACTGCTCTCTGGACGTAAACAAGCAAACCAACATGGCAGCGCCCGTAACATTCAGGAAGTTTGTGGAGAGTCAGGCGAAGAAGGCAGCCTTTGGTGAATTTACTAACAGATTCGGCTTTAGGGAAGCGGATACGACAAACGATCGTCTAATCAGGGCTTCTAGATGCAGGAAACACCACAGACGTTAAGGTTCATCACTGCTAAGCAGAATCGTCACTGGAAATAATGTGGCGCGGTAGGAACGTTTCCTGATTACGGAGGCTGGCTGTAAGGAGATGAGGCCGTCTGCTCACACACTTCGCTGAACGCTACTGATGGACTAGCACCATGTTAGCACGGTTCGGTTGTGTCTGGCGCGGTCCGGTTCAGTTGTGCGTACCATTTACACTCCCCCACCCCCAATGCATGAAGCTGGTGCTGAACTGGACAGCTCCTTCAGTGACAGACTGCTGCACCTTAAATGCACCAGGGTGCGTTATCACAGATCCTTCCTCCCAGCAGCTGGAAGACTCTAGAACCACCATTGTTCCCAACAACCTCAACCATTTCTTCCATTCATGCTGATTCTGCTCAGTTTCTACCTTAGTCAGTTAAATAACCTGCTGCTGTCATTCTGCACATCTCTGATGTTGCTGCTATTTTCAAATTACTGTAAAAATGTCCATAGCTGCATATTGGTTATTTATTCTCCAGATACAGAATATTTCTATTGTAAAAACAATGTTTTATTTTGTTTATTTTCTTAGCTCTATTACTTATTCTGTTATTTTACTTTTTAAGGTCCCCATCGTTTGACCGATTCTGCTATAATGCTGCTACTAAACTACAGAAACAAACAAATGATTGTTTCATTAAACATTACCTGCTCTTCACCACAGATGAACATCATTTAGGATTTATTGATATCACCACTGATTAACGATGCTCCTTATCAGCTGGTATTTTATCAATACTTTTAAACAGACAATAAATATTTCTAAACATTTGGAATGATAAATCAAAAGTAAAAAATATATGTATTTTTGAAATAAAACAACATAGAAAGAACTTTAAATATATAAAAGGACAAAACATTACATCTTAAAAAAAATTAAGTTGTATAATTTTAGGAATGAGGAATATTAAAATTGAAAAACCAGGAAGTGAACAAAAACAATGAATACGCCAAAAACTAAAAGAAATTAACTTAATAAAATAATTCAGTCATTTATATTATACCTGAACTAAATATATTCTACTCTATAAACTCAAACAGACGGCAAACGGTCCCGACTTTCGAAAACAGAACAGTTTGAATTCTGGGAAAATCTGGGAGAAAAAACAAGGAAATCTAATCGTTCCATAAGAGCCTGTTGGATCCAAGACACCTGGATTCCTCAGGTCACCTGAGGAGACGAGGAACCCGTCAGCATCAGAGCGCGTAGGCTAGTGTCTGGGAAGGAGTCCTACCTTTTAATTTTGAGCGAACTTTATTGGCTGTCTTCTTGATGTCAGCTGTGAGGTCCTCCAACTCCTGCTTGGTCTCTGTGGAGAAAAGATGCGTTTCAGCTTAAAGGCAACAGAAAGTTCTCTGGATTCACTTATTTCTAAGAGGAAATCTGTCCTGATTGAGGGAGGAAATGGAATTAATGAGCCTCAGACCTGAGCTCAGAGTCTGCACTGCAAAAGGCATCAAGAAGTAACTGAACTTTTCTTACATTAAGTTTATTTACCCCTAATTTAAGTAGATTATTCCCACTAGAATGAGAAGTTTTATCGTTAACCCTTTATAGGGCACTCAGAGAAATACTTTGAAAATATCCATTTCCAAAAAAAAATGGATATTTTGATGGCAAAAAGGAATTTCGATGTAATAACAGGAAATGCCAACTTGCCCGAATATATTAGGAATAATAACAAAGTGCTTTTAGAAGAAATTCGTGAAAAGAAACACATTTTGTTTGGTACATGTGAAGTTAGAAAGCTGAGGCATATTTAACGTCCTCTAAATATGCCAGATAGAGCTCTGACTGGGCAAAGCTCACTACATACTTTTATACCTTACTCCCCCCAGGGGAACCATCCCACCCCCTGCATAAAGAACTTTCTCACACAAGAACAATTGGAGGAAAAACAAGTTGAGTTCATCAAGGCCGTTCCCTGTTAGGTTTATATATCTTTCACTGGCCAGATGGATCTCCTATTTGTTGGGGGGGGGGGGGGGGGGGGGGGGGGTGATCAAAAAGTCTAACTTGCCCTATAAAGGGTTAAAATAAAATTCATTAGATAATATTCACTTACATTATCACAATTCAATTGTTTTTTTTTCACCTTTTTTTAAAATGTTAATAGTCTTGTTCCATTGGCAAAGGCGTATTTTCTCATGGCTTTGGTTCTGTTTATGTTTTATCTTTGAGTTTTCATTGGTCTTATTTCCATTTTGTGTTATTCTAGTTATTTTAGATTGTATTTTGGTTCTCAGGTATTTCCTGTTTGCCCTCTGCTGCCCTCTTGTGTCAGTCTATTTTCCCTCGCTCCCTTCTAGACTCCTCTGTCCACACCTGCTCCCAATCTGCTGATTAGCCTGGTCTTTGTTTCTAAGGCTACATTCACACTGCAGGCCTTGATGCTCAATTCCGATTTTTTTGCGAAATCCGATTTTTTTACGTTGCTGTTCGTATTTCCAAATATATGCGACTTGTATGTGATATCCTGTGTGAACAGGTGTCATACAACACAAGTGTCCCACATGCACAGTAGAGGACGCAATGATGTCACAGGCCAGCGTGCTCTTTTTTTCTGGAAGTAAACATGGATGGTAGTGGCGGCGGCGGCGCGCATCTAGCGGTCTTTTCCAACCATAAAAACACAATCTTTTCAATATAATTAAACATAAATACTATTTTCCGCATCACCATCTGCCATGGATTTTGTTTTTCTTGCCGCTTCTGTGTAGCAAGATGCAGAATAGTGACCTATGTCGGGTATTAATGACGTTCAGGTCAAACGTTCACACACAGGTCGCATTTGAAAAGATCAGATTCGTATCGGATTCAGGACCACAGAGCCAAGTGGCCTGGGTCCGATTGGAAAAAATCGGATCTGTGTCGTTCAGACAGCCATGAAAAGATCAGATCCAGGTCGCATATGGGCAAAGAATCGGATTTGGGTCACTTAGGCTGCAATGTGAACGTAGCCTATCTCTCATATATATGCACCTCCTGTTCAGTCACTGTTGCTGGTTTATCGTCATTTTATCCAATTTAAGTTTGTTTTTCTGTATTTTTTTTAATACTGGGGATTTATGTTTTGGGATTTTTGCTTCTGTTGCCCTTTTTTTTGTTATTAAATCTGGTTTAGATTTTTTTGCAGTGTGCTGCTTTTCTGGGGCCAGGTCACAGAAAAAGCAGCAAATTTTATTTATTAACTTTATGAAGAGAAAATTTCCCAAATGTAAGATTTAGGTTGTTAAATTGTTAATGAAGCAGCTTTTTTGCTGAGCGTCTGCAGACTGAAGCTGTGCGTCTGGACCTGCAGCAGAAGAAAAGCTTTGAGGGTCAGAGGGCGAGGAAGACGAGCATTAACACCTCATCATGTCAGCCATGTTGGAAACGGCGAGCTGAAACTGCAGCAGTGCAGTCAGATTTACGAGCGCTGCAGTGCCATTCAGCCTCCTCTACCTCTGACTCACCCTGCTCCTCTCTGACCGCCGCGCTGCATCGCTTGGCTGCGGCTCCCTAACCAAGCGGGGCGTTGCTGCAGCTCTGACTGCAGGCTGCCTGCCTGTGTGTTCGACCCACTAATGTCTGCTTGTATCATCGTCTGTGTGGATGCTGAGAAATCGGTCTGACATTGAATATTCAGCAGAGGCCTAAACTGATGATCTGTAGCTGTTTCTGATAGTGAAAGAGCTTCAGGTCCATTTGTCAGCTGATATAATTACTTCAGAGGAACATTTTTGCCAGAGATCATCAGAGAAAACTCAAATACTGGCAGAAAACAAGCCTTTTAACGGCATTAGTGCCATCAGAGCGTTTTAATTGGCTGATCGTTAACCAATTAGCATTAATGAAGCTGATTGATGGGGAGACCTGCCGTCAGATCTTTATTTTCCCATCAGTCAGCAGGTGAGTCATCAGAGCCCCAACAAACGCTGACAGTTAACAGGCTCATCAATGCGCTAACGATCAATCAGCAGCTGCTCTCATCAATAACGTTATGTCACTGATTCTGTTTCAGATGTTTACTCAAACATCAAAGACATTCTGGATCCTTTGATCTTCTTCCTTTCCTTTGTTACATATTGGTTAATTGTTTAAATGGATTTTATTGATTTTTCTATTAAAGATATATTATTTGTAGGGCTGCAAATAACAAGCATTTAGCAAATTAATTAATCTGTCGATTATTTTTTTTTATTAATCGATTAATAATCAGATAGCCAAAGGTTCCGAAAGAAAATATTTTAGAAATTAAACAAGGTGAAACTGAAACTTTTCCACTTGAGGAGTTCTGCATTATAGAGCAGATTGACAGAAGGGAATGTTTTTATCTTAAATGTAGAATGTTTATACATATTATTTTACAATCTTGGTATAATTCCTGCTCTAAGTGGGTCGCTCTGTCAGAAAGGGCAGCTTTACAGTCTCTAAACTCCAGTTAGTGATTAATCAGTTACTAAATTAGTGTCTTTCAATAATCGATTAATCCAATTAACTGTTTTAGACCCAATTATTTGTGGGTTAAATTGAATATGAAAATATACATGTATTATGATTGAATTGAAAATACTTAACTATAAAGTACTGGGAATTGTTTAATATTGCGGATTTTTTAAATGACCAACGTCGTCCGGCACTCTGCTGCAAAGAACCAAAGATTGACATATTTCTGTGCAGAGAAAAAGCTGCAACTATAAGGTTTCACCTCCTAGTGAGCAATAAATGGCCGGCATGTCATTTTGATGGTAAGCAGCTGAGACGATGTTTAGCACTAATGCTAACACCGACGGCACAGACAGCAGCCTTAGACGGAGCTGATGTTTGCCTCCTTTCTCACTTTAACTTATTTCAGATTTTCTGATAAAAAAATTCCAAATATCTAAAGGAGAGGATGGGAGCGGCCATTATTATTATAGCTTATATGAGCTACGATAGCAAGAGTGAAGAAAACTAATTAACATTTTTACACTAATGCTAAACAATGACATAACCGATATGCTAGCTGATAGATTCATTCCTCTGAGGGATTAATGAACAAGAAATATGGAGGCTGTGGGTTTAGTGCAGCTGGTTTCAGGGATCAGTTAGCGCATTGTTGATCAGTTAGGGTATTGGTTATAGGGATCGGTTAGCGTATCGGTTTCGGGGATCGGTTAGCGTATCGGTTTTGAGGATCGGTTGGCGGATCGGTTTTGGTGATCTGTTAGCGTATCAGTTTCGGGGATCTGTTAGTGTATCGGTTTCGGGGACCGGTTAGCATATCGGTTATTGGGATTGGTTAGCACATCGGTTTCGGGGATCAGTTAGCGTATCAGTTTCGGGGATCGGTTAGCAATTCGGTTTCGGGGATCGGTTAGCGTATCGGTTTTGGGGATCGGTTAGCAATTCGGTTTCAAGGATCGGTTAGCGTATCGGTTTCGGAGATCGGTTAGTGTATCGTTTCGGGGATCGGTTAGCGTATCGGTTTCAAGGATCGGTTAGCGTATTGTTTTTGGGGATCGGTTAGCACATCGGTTTCGGGGATCAGTTAGCGTATTGGTTTTGGAGATCGGTTAGCACATCGTTTCGGGGATCGGTTAGCACATTGGTTATGGGGATCAGTTAACGTATCGGTTTCGGAGATCGGTTAGCGTATCAGTTTCGGGGATCGGTTAGCATATCGGTTATTGGGATTGGTTAGCACATCGGTTTCAGGGATCAGTTAGCGTATCGGTTTCAGGGATTGGTTAGCACATCGGTTTTGGGGATTGTTAGCACATTGGTTTCGGGGATCGGTTAGCGTATCGGTTATTGGGATTGGTTAGCACATTGGTTTCAGGGATCAGTTAGCGTATCGGTTTCAGGGATTGGTTAGCACATTGGTTTTGGGGTTCGTTAGCACATTGGTTTCGGGGATTGGTTAGCGTATCGGTTTCAGGGATTGGTTAGCGTATCGGTTTCAGGGATCGGTTAGCACATCGGTTTTGGGGATCGGTTAGCGGGGGAGCAGTATTTCAGGGTGTGTTTTCTGTTCTGCAGCCCAGTGGGGATCAAAGGCCATCAGGGCAGAATAAATTCCCCGATCGGTGTGAAAAGCAGCCTATAGGTCTCTCTACGGGTTTAGCTCTTGTGTTGAAGAGTGAGTTTGAATTTTTCTGTCTGGAGGCGATTTAGCGAGGAATCAGAAGTGGGTCATCCAGGTCCAGGAAGTAAAAACTCTGCCTTGTTTTCCTTCATCCCGTTCAGCGAAGCAGGTGATTGGTCTTCAAAGTGGAGCCAGAAATGAGGGGATTTCTGAACAAAACCTTTACTTTCTGGACCTGGATTATCCACCTCTGGGAGGACATGGCATGAGTGTAGATTAAATTAAAATATTACAGTGAATGTTATGTTTCTGCTGCATTGGAGGCATCTGACACATTATTTATGATAACACCTCACTCATATTTAAAAGCAAAGAATCTATCATTAAACCTAATAGTAAGGATTATTAAATTGGATTAGGATTTCAGAAAAGGTTTCCTATCATATATAATCAACAGAAGCCTGTAAACCTAGATTAACAGAATATCTAATTCAAATATTGCTCCTTTTTTGTAAAGACCAATTTTTTTCCTCTGGAGATGCCAATATGTTCTGACAGAAACCTTAAAACCATATTTAAAACCAGTTTGGCCGATGAGATTAAATATAAAGAGAAAACAAAATGAGGAGTTAGTTTGATCTCAAATGGCTGCGGCGTACATCTGTACCCCTCCGCTCTCACTACAACTCCCATCATGCATTATTCAGGCTGAAACATGGCTCACTGGCAGCTGAGAGGGAGCTGACCCAGAACTGAGGAGAAAACGGAAAAACGAGAGAAAGAGATGAATTTTCAGCAGGAGGAGGAAGGAGAACCGGAACGTCAGCTCAGATGAACGTCAACAGACGGCTGGTATCTCACTCTGAGTTTTAATCACTGAGACCAGACTCAGAACAATAAAACATTTCCAGAATGGGAATGCTGGTAACACCAGGAATGTTTCAGTCTGGATGGGATCAGAAACGTTGGTCTTGTTTTGTTGTTCAACTTTCTGACAGAAAAACATTGATTCCCTAATAATGTATTTTTCCTCAATAAATCTTCAAAACTGTTTCGATTGTGGGTTATTTTTCAAAAAAACAAAACTATTATCAGGCTTTTGACAGTCTACGTATTAAGGGCTTCAGCAGAGGTTCTGTTTCTGTCCACAGAAACCGGGGGGGGGGGGTCAATCTAATCAGCAGAGCTGCTGCTGTTACTTTAATATTAGTGAGGAACGTTTTCTTCAACCAATCAGATTTCAGATTTGCCCCAGAGGGCCGGCAAGAGGGCCCGCCCCTACGTCAGCATTTTCTGTCCTCTGATTGGTAAGAGCTAAATGTTTACAGCCAAGTTAAGCTAGCGAGAGAGAAGGCTAATTTATGCTCAGAAACCAGGCTGTTTGCGTGTGTGTTGCAGTTAACGCAGATCATTTCTAGCTGACTGCAGACAGGAGGCCTCTGATTGGTCAGTTCTACATCCGCTCTACACTATGCGTATTTCCTGTTTGGTACTTAATAGCAGAAACTCGTAGTTACTCGCGAGGAGAATAGGACGAGACTGCAGAGTTTACAAATCTCCACCCCACTCTGCAGTCTTCAGCTTTCTCCTCGCTATTTATTGAAGAAAGGGGATGTCCCTAATTACACCAGCTGAGGTTTAACTAAGGGGAAGGGAAACAAAAGGATCTTACTTTAAACCTCAACACATATGTTAAAACAATTGAATTGTTCCAAGAACACATGTTTAGAAGAAACATGTGATAGAGGATGTTCAGGCCTCTTTCACAACCCGTCCGTTGCATGACCTTTATCTGGAACGATCTTTAGCAAGAGTTAATAAACGATGAATCACACATTATACATCATAATAGTTCATTAGAACACAACCCATGAAACACAAACGGAGTATAAATAAAATATTTCTAACACAGAAACTCCGGCTGTAGCTCCGTCCACCATGCCTGGCACACCTCGGACACTATCACAGACACCGTGCAGCTAGTGCAACGCTAGTTTGTAGCTCTGTGCGACGGTCTGTTGGTTTGCATCCGAAGCCAAAACACCCAGCGCCACGGCCAGACTTTGGGGAACACTCACGGGGGAACCGTGTGTCGTCCGGCGTTCGATGAGGGGTTGCATACGGCGAACAAGCTCGTCAAACTGACACAAGGACACCTACGATTTTATTGGCCATAAATCAAAAATACCTGTGTCACACCTGCGACACACTACTGTCGGAGGATAACCAGCCCTAGAGAAACACCCTCCTGCATCCGGACCTTTAAGGAACAGACATAAAGTCTGGTTATCGTCCCGCAGCAGTGTGTCGCAGTGAGCTTGATGCAGATATTCATGATTTCTGCCCAATATTGAAGCGTGGTCTGCGCTATGTTATTCCACGCCACAACGCCAGAGGGCCAATCAGGAACTAGCTGGGGGTCTAGATACGGCCGAGGCGGTGAGGAAGTGGGGGCAAGTTTGTGTGACAACAGAGGGACATGAGGGCCAAAAAGAGCGGGGATCCAGGTGGAAAAAGGGTCCCAGCGTTCTCGCGCACCTCGCTTTGCTAGCTGCTCCATCTTCACCAGTAGTTTTCCATAATGGTGGTCAGACAAACAAAGCCAGCCGGTAAGGAACCAAACAGGAAATACGCATAGATTAGAGCGGATGGAGATCTGACCAATCAGAGACCTCCTGTCTGCGGTCACCTACAATTTGGGAGAGGTGCAGGTGTCTGTTGGGGTGGGGGGGTTATCTGCGTTCACTGCGACACACGCAGACCACCTGATTTCTGAGTATAAATCAGCCTTTTGTGTTCTGGTGTAAGAAACAGACGTTCCAGGTGGTTTAACTCTAAATTCCAGCAGTTTAACCTTTAATTTCTTTCTCTAGAAGTTTCATTTTTATGTCGACGTTAGTTTCAGGTTAATTTATCTTATTGTCAATAATAATACTGATTACATTTAACTTGATATCATATGTTTGATAAACACTAAAAATCTCCTCAGATGAACATTTGTCAGTGGAAATGAGAACCAATGCAGGGCTGGTCTACAGACGTTACTCACATGTGGTTAAGCTCAGGTCTCCTCCAAGCTTAACGTCGCGTCATGCAGTTTAAAAAGCAGGACCATGCAGACACAACAGGAAGAACAGAAACTAGGAACATATGGAAATGAAAACAAAATATAATCATTGTTCATCATGCAGGAAAAAAAACACACATGGAGAAAAACATGCAAAATGATCAGAAGAAAAAAAAAATCAAAGACGTTTGGAAAGAGAAACATTTAGGAGGTTTGACTGCCTGACATGTTGGATTCTGGTTCTGACAGGAGGCTGAAGGTTGGAGCCTGATGGAGGTTCTTTAGGTTTAATCTGACCCAGAACCGGACCAGAATCTGACCCAGAACCGGACCAGAACCTGACCCAGAACCGGACCAGAACCTGACCCAGATCCAGACCCAGATGCTGACTCGGCTCCACCCGACCGTCTGCAGCAGGCTCAATGACAGCGAGTCATTCCAGCTGAGTCACAGCCTACCGGGTCAGAGCGCCGTGCCCTCCCATCCAAAACACTTTCATTTCTTCTTCAGGTGTCGGGAGGAGCAGCGGAGCGACGGGTGGAGCGCTCAGTGGCGTTCTGCCAGCAGGCTCCTTGGAGGATTGGATACGGAGCAGCAGAGCTCATCAGGAAGCAGTTAACAGGATGACATTTCACTTGGAGGCTCCGGGTCGAGCTGCTGAAGGCTTTTAATGCGATGATCAGAACCATCCGTCTGTGTTTACTCCAGAGAGACGCTCAACGCAGCCTGGAAGCGTCTGTCTGGTTTTACCAGAGAGCCAGAACTCCGACCACTGGGTTCCAGTGATCTGGAACCACATAGGATACTGGTTCATTTGGTCCAAGCCAGAACCATAAGTTAGGTCTAACCCAGTCCTGGTTCTAAAGGTTTTCAGAAATGAACTTTGGCAGAAAGTTCCTATTGGCTCAGAGACGAGCCAATCAGGAGCTGGGAAAGCCTGACCAGTTCTGAGCTCACCGGATCAGGAATGTTCGCTCACAATTCTGGAAACATCAGGAACATTCAGCAGGAATGACAGACAGCGGCCTGTGGAGCTGAACCAGTTCCTGCTGGGATTTGGATCTAGAAGAACAGGAAGCAGCTGATCAGCCCACTGAAGCAGAACTGAGCAGAAGCTGGAGGCTCCAGCGGGTCCCTGCAGATCTGCAGCATGTTGGACTTTATGGACCTGAAGCTTAGCTGCATTACAGCTGAGGGGGAAAATGGGTCGGCTTGGTGACCCAGGATCCAAGCCCGGTCAGAGGGAGGTCAGCAGGTGGTCATGTGACCCTCCTTCCAGCACCAACTGCTCAGATATTTTAATGTTGTTTCATTATGATTCTAAAGAACCTTCCTGTGATTCTTCAGGCTGTTTTTCCAGCCTGAAGACCAGAACCAGACTCTCTAGGTGATGCAGGCGTCAGCGGGGGGGAAGAGGCTTAGCGGAGGTCTTACTTTCGTCAGGGTTCGGCGCGGCAAGGATGGCGCTGTGCTGCTTCTTCACCTGCTCCACATCCTCTGACAGCTTCTCTATGCAGCCTCGGATCTCCTCCACCTGAAGCAGAGACAGGAACCCAGTGGATCAGCCTCCAGGACAGCTTCACACAAGGACAGCTAGCTTTGGCTCATTTAGCATCAAATAAGTAGTAAAACTAAGCCCCCTTATAAAAAAGTTCAACATCAATCCACTGGACTTTGTTTCAGCCCAACAAAGCCTGGTTTAAGGTTAGAAAACATGCAAATAGAAACGGATGAACAGGTTTGGAATGAGGTTCGAAAAGAGGCGGACCTGTTCGTCCAGTTCAATTTGCATTTGATCTGAAGAATCGACCCGAAAAGGGCAAAAATCGTACAGTCTAAGCCCGGCTTTAGCAAAACTTCATCTAAGCCTTCAACTTGGATGTTAGATCCAGTTCAAACCAGGTTATTTAAGGAGGTATTCCCTTTGATCTCCTCCTCCATTCTAGATGTGATTAATCTATCTCTGTTACAGGGATACGTACCAAAGGCTTTTAAGGTTGCTGGAATCAAACCTCTGCTTAAGAAACCGTCTATTGACCCAGATGACTTGATAAATTATAGACCTATATCCAATCTTCCGTTCTGATCTAAAACTATGGAATATTTTGGCTAAATGAGTGGGTGACCACTTTCAGAAAGGTGTCAGCCACTGCTGTTCTAATCTAGCCATCTGCAAAATAAAAAATATTCAAATTATTATCCCAAATATATATTCCCCCCAACCTGACCCCTACGTGACCCCAGTGTTTTATACTTCCTCTCTTCCTAAAAGCTCAAACTAGCAGAGCTTCTTCAGGATCAGAATCAGACCGTCTCTCTGTGGATTGTTGTGAATAAACTCTGTTTCTTTTCCGCTCAGGTGAGTTAAATTGACACTCAAACGGATGGATCAGCTGTTTGCGTGTGAAGCTGGAGCCTCGAGGGAGGATCACTCACTGACCACTGGACGTGCGTCTCCGTGTCTCACCTGTTCGAAGAACTCATCCATGAAGTGGTCCCTGTCCACTTGCACCACCTCTTCATCATCATCGCTGTCCTTAGCCTGCAGACATGAAGACAGGATGAAGGTGAGAACCTGAATGACTCTGATTGCTTCAAACCGATCACATGAAATCCATCAGTACAGAAATAAACAGGAGCTTAAAGCAAAGATAAGAAAGAAACCAGGAATCTGCTGCGATGCACCACGAGTCGTTTGGATCGATTGTTTTTTCCGAACTGACCGCTGCTTTCATCGGTTTCATTTCCATCAGCTTGATTTGTTCCTTTCATTATTTCTGCAGACTTTGCCTCCAGAGAATTCTTTTTTTTTAATCCTGTTTTTCTGTCGAGCTTCAGACCTCTGGCCTGGATTTAATGGCTCCATGTTTCACACATCTGAAGGAAGCGTCCATGAAGACAATGAGAGTCCAGGGAGGAGCTGATCACTGCAGATGTTCAATTATTAAACATGTGAAAGGACAGCCAGTCCGAGGAGAGTTCTGGATGGGTTCTACAAAACCAGTTCCCCAAAATGGATCATCTGGCTGCAGACTACCTGGTAACTGGACCAGACCGAATCCAATCACTAAAAAAAGCTTGCTCAAAAATCTCCTTTCTGTGACGATGAAGCAGAAGGAGGTTCTACTGACTGAAGGAGGAGGTTCTACTGACTGAAGGAGGAGGTTCTACTGTCTGAAGGAGGAGGTTCTACTGACTGAAGGAGGAGGTTCTACTGACTGAAGGAGGAGGTTCTACTGTCTGAAGGAGGAGGTTCTACTGACTGAAGGAGGAGGTTCTACTGACTGAAGGAGGAGGTTCTACTGTCTGAAGGAGGAGGTTCTACTGACTGAAGGAGGAGGTTCTACTGACTGAAGGAGGAGGTTCTACTGTCTGAAGGAGGAGGTTCTACTGACTGAAGGAGGAGGTTCTACTGTCTGAAGGAGGAGGTTCTACTCACTGAAGGAGGAGGTTCTACTGTCTGAAGGAGGAGGTTCTACTGACTGAAGGAGGAGGTTCTACTGTCTGAAGGAGGAGGTTCTACTCACTGAAGGAGGAGGTTCTACTGACTGAAGGAGGAGGTTCTACCAGCTGCTGACAGACGTTCTAAAGCAGGTCTGCCCAAAGTTGGTCCTCCTGGGTTTAAAGGTTTCCTGCTTCACAGGAAGTCTAGTCTACTGACTACAAAGGAGGTTCTACTGACTACAGGAGGAGGTTCTATTGACTAAAGGAGGAGATTCTACTGACTTAATGAGGAGGTTCTACTGACTACAGGAGGAGGTTCTACTGACTGAAGGAGGAGCTTCTACTGACTACAGGAGGAGGTTTTACTGACTACAAAAGGAGGTTCTACTGACTACAGGAGGAGGTTCTACTGAGTACAGGAGGAGGTTCTATTGACTGAAGGAGGAGGTTCTACTGACTACAAAAGGAGGTTCTACTGACTACAGGAGGAGGTTCTATTGACTGAAGGAGGAGGTTCTACTGACTACAGGAGGAGGTTCTATTGACTGAAGGAGGAGGTTCTACTGACTGCAGGAGGAGGTTCTACTGACTTAGGGAGGAGGTTCTACTGACTGAAGGAGGAGGTTCTACTGACTTAATGAGGAGGTTCTACTGACTACAGGAGGAGGTTCTACTGAGTACAGGAGGAGGTTCTATTGACTGAAGGAGGAGGTTCTACTGACTGCAGGAGGATGTTCTACTGACTTAGGGAGGAGGTTCTACTGACTTAGGGAGGAGGTTCTACTGACTGAAGGAGGAGGTTCTACTGACTGCAGGAGGATGTTCTACTGACTTAGGGAGGAGGTTCTACTGACTTAGGGAGGAGGTTCTACTGACTGCAGGAGGATGTTCTACTGACTTAGGGAGGAGGTTCTACTGACTTAGGGAGGAGGTTCTACTGACTGAAGGAGGAGGTTCTACTGACTGCAGGAGGAGGTTCTACTGACTGAAGGAGGAGGTTCTACTGACTACAGGAGGAGGTTCTACTGACTACAGGAGGAGGTTCTATTGACTGAAGGAGGAGGTTCTACTGACTACAGGAGGAGGTTCTACTGACTACAGGAGGAGGTTCTACTGACTACAGGAGGAGGTTCTACTGACTGAAGGAGGTTTTACTGACTGAAGGAGGAGGTTCTACTGACTTAGGGAGGAGGTTCTACTGACTTAGGGAGGAGGTTCTACTGACTGAAGGAGGAGGTTCTACTGACTGCAGGAGGAGGTTCTACTGACTTAGGGAGGAGGTTCTACTGACTTAGGGAGGAGGTTTTACTGACTGAAGGAGGAGGTTCTACTGACTGCAGGAGGAGGTTCTACTGACTTAGGGAGGAGGTTCTACTGACTGAAGGAGGAGGTTTTACTGACTGTAGGAGGAGGTTCTACTGACTGTAGGAGGAGGTTCTACTGACTGTAGGAGGAGGTTCTACAAGCTAATTTCAACCCGGAACCAGTAGGAAGTCCAACTTGTCTGTGGATCGTGAGTCGGACTCTAACAGGAACCGTTTTTCAGCTCCTTGCAGGTTCTAAAGATTTAGAAGATGCTTCTGGTTCTGACTCAGTTCCAGGTCCAAAAGAACCGCAGGTTTGTTGATCAGCTGCTGCTTTTAATTAGTAGATCCAGAACATCGGTTCAAACACGTCTTCCTCTAAATTGGCTTGGAGATCAATTAAAACAACAAACGGCCTCTGAGGATCTGGACAACAATCCCACAGCTGCTCTCAGCTGATAAAGTCCGGTCGGCTCTCGTCCAATCAGCATCCTCCGTCAGCGACAGCAGAACAAACAGCTCTTTGTGTCTGAGGGAGGTTATCTGCTGGACGCACCTCAGCCAAGGAGCAAAGCCTGATGGGAAATATTTCACCTCCTCCTTTGATCCAACCCAAAGGTTTAGAAGAACAGGCCATCCTACAGCAAACTGGGTCCAGCAGCAGGAGGTTCTTCTAGATTCTGATGTTCTAGAGTCTGACTGAAGGAGGAACTGATTCATTCTGATGTTTTAGGAAATATCTGTCCTTTCAGAACCACGGAACAGCGACGCTGCCGAACATCCGGGTCACAGGTTCCTCCTTCAACCTCGAAGTGTCTCTAATACAAATCACTTTATCATTTGAAGGAGAACCGATTCGACTGGATCCGACCGGTTCTAACCTGATCCGAAAGAGTGAATCAGGACCCGACTGAATTCTGCCGGATCTGTTTAAGCGGTCATATTTGGGTCCAACAGGACCAGGAAGGGACTAACTTTGTCCCCAGTGTGTCTAACTGGAGCTAACAGAACTGATCTGATACCTTCTGATTTGGTCCTACTGAATCTAGAAAAGTCCATCTTTATTGACCCTTATAAACGGGACAGTTGTTCATCCCCTCACCTAGAAAGCCCAGCAGAGGATGATCTTCCTGCAGCAGCTGAAACAATTCAACCTGCCTTAAAATAAGGAAACACAATTGAATTGTCTTATTTTAAGTGCATATTATCTAATTATAAAATTCCATTGGCAAACTATCTAATTTACCTACTCAAATTAAGGGTAAACACTCTTAATATAAGACATTTTTACTTCTTTCTAGATCGTTTTCCAGTGTTGGATCTAAATCCTCCAGTGGAATCAGAGTTAAAAGGCTGATCGAAGAACAGACTCATTCTAAGTGTTAAATTTCTGTCTGCCTGCCTGCAGCTGGGCATCGGTTCTGCAGATGGTTCGTTGTTCCCAATCGCTTGGGGCCAAAATGCAGCTCATCTGAAACTGGGTCGTTCTACTTCTTGAATTCACAGCTTTAGAGATAATGAGGAAGGATCTGCAGGCAGCGATGAGTCGCTCATCCTTCAGCTTTAGTCTGAGCTGCAGTTTAAACCCGACCCAGTCCTGCCTCCTGATCACAACCTGCAGCTTTTAAAGGGAAACGACTCGGACTGGTGGCCTTCCAGCCTCCTGTCCTCCCACTGATTCAGCTGTCGGCTCAGAACCTTCCAGGGTTCAGATCTGGTTCTAGGGTTCAGCTGGGGATCAGGTTTCAGGGCTGAGAAACGCGGCAGCGTGTCACCAATCGTCTGTGTCTGACTCAGACAGCGTCCCTGAAGGCACCACGGGCCCCTGTGGAAATCCTCCACAGAGGATGTGACAGCAGAGGAGCCGATAACCTTCAGAGAATCAGCTGATCTGAGAGACATCCAGGCATTAGACCGAGCCCAGACCGCTGCTGAGATCACCTCTCTGATAAACAGAAACTTTATCAGGAAAATTAGGTTATGGGGAAAAATCATTTCCCAGAATATAAAAGTAAAACATGCAAAGAGACTTTAGATCATCTAAAAACAAAGAAGTAAAATAAACAAAAGGAAACAATTTAGAACTAAAAAAACTATTATATAAAGAAAAAAAAACAGAAAATAAGTTCAAAGAATATAAAAAATGAATAAAATTAACTTCCAATACAAATATGAGGAAATGATTCCTTAGTATTTGGAATATTTTTTTTTTATAAAAAAAAAATAAAATAAAAATATTAGGACTATTATCAAATTTAATCTAACTTTAAATGAGGAAAAGAAAAAGAACTGAGAAAAAATTTAGAGATTTAATTCAATTAAATGACTGATTTGAAATCATTTATATCCAAACTAAATTCTGTCGTTTTATTGCTTGTAAAGTTATTGTGGACCCAGCAGCCAATAAGCATTAGCCCAATGGAAACAGCTTCTCTGTGACTCCTGAGGGGGGCGCTGCTGAGCTGCTGATCAACGACTCCATGCAATCTGCTACTAGTCAATGACTCAACACAATCTGGTACTAGTCAATGACTCAACACAATCTGGTACTAGTCAATGACTCAACACAATCTGGTACTAGTCAATGACTCAACACAATCTGGTACTAGTCAATGACTAAACGCAATCTGCTACTAGTTAATGACTCAACGCAATCTGCTACTAGTTAATGACTAAACGCAATCTGCTACTAGTTAATGACTCAACACAATCTGGTACTAGTCAATGACTCAACACAATCTGGTACTAGTTAATGACTCAACACAATCTGCTACTAGTCAATGACTCAACGCAA